TCCGGACTAGGTGCGTTTCTATCAGTCTTCCTACCATTATGACCAAGTTGCGAAAACAAGGTCAAACAACATCTAGCATATACGTTTGCTACATCGGCACTCCCACCAAAAGAATATGATATAGCAAAGAGGCCTGACCTTCCTTGAAATTCACTTATGCCCTCTGACTCAAGGGTACTCGTGGCAGTGTAGCCGAGTGGTTAGCGTGTCAAGCTTCCATCCTGCACTGTAGCGGTTCGACTCCCGCTAAGGGTGTTGATAAGACTGATGCAAGGTCGAAACTGCAGTCCACCCTGGATGAGAACAACTTTTGGGAAAGCAAGGCTATGTGAAATTGAAGGGAAACTTCAGCTCAACTCATATCATTGTGGGAAAATTCTACTACTAGTCCTTCATCACCCTTGACGAAATAGGGTGAATACATCTCATTACAGAAATTCTTATATCCTAGAATCTGTGTTGTTTTGTTATCAATATCTAGCCGATTGATGTTTTCAGGATTCATTACAGCACCACAATTAGACTCCGTAGACGACGAACATAAAGATGATTGAGAAATAGCAGCATTGACCGAGCAATGGCCTATTCCACCGGTGCAAAACTGTATCGAATGCGAGGATAAGAATTATATCTGCTCGGTGTTATGGAAGCAGATTCATGACAGCTCAAGTATAGCCGATTAAAGATTTAGCCAAAATGCGAGTCATATATATATATACTATAATCTGGGATTTTAAGAATCCGATGGTGAAGTCAAATTCTTGTAGTGTTGTATATTATCATATATTCTTGGTCTATCACACCCGTGCAAAAGTGTATAGTTTAAAGCTAGGACACGAACTATATCTTCGTTAAGCTATGGTTGCAGGACCACCATTAATGCTTTGTAGGTACAGGTGGAACGCTGAACTGAAGCTGAAAATGGAGTGGCCGTGTTGATCACATCGATGGTGTCACTAAAGCATACTCTCATCCAAATAATTGTTGCCATATCTCAGGCCTGTCTATTCGTCTAATTTCTGACTTAAGCAGAGGGACGACTGATTGAAATGCAGGAGAGATGTTCCGGTGTCCGGAACGGCGTCTGGAATACCTGCAAGGAAATATGACCTGTGGCTGTAAACAAGGTATGGGCAGTTTAGCTGTGATATGCTTCCTCGGAGAGATGTGGTAACAAAAGACGCATAGCAGAAAACTAATCTAGAGTATGATGTCAAAGTCTTTCGAACACAGGTTTATAGAAGGTTGCCTATCATGCCAGGGCATCGGATTAATTTTATCCAAATTATTCTTCCTTATGAAGCTTCAGCAATAGAAGAATCAGTGGGAGGCCATAAGCAACCCTGCTGAGGGCGGATAGCTAGAAAAATATGTTTCAGGATTGGTACAGGAATTCTTTGTGGTGAGCACAAATGGTCTAGTCGAGAAAAGTTTCAAAAATCCTGGGTGAATTTAGCGGCCTCGGGTGTTGAATTTGCAAGGTGATGAAGGACTGATGGTTAAATTTTCACACAATCATATGATTAGGCCTCACTAAAGAAGGGAATTTTACTATACTTGTGATATGAAAAAGGTATGGCCCACCTCAAAATTCACATCTGGCCTATGACCCACTGGCATCATGAGAGTTTTGTGCAGAGTTTGAAAGTATACACTGCTCTAGTCGGGTTCGGTTCCGGCTGGAGATGCTGATCAGACCTAGGTTAAATGAAATTCGTTGGCAACACAGAGCCTCCTTATATCAGTGGACAAACGCAATTCGCTCTTTATCGCATGTGGCCAATGTGGGTACAGTTCTTATTTAAGCTCTACAGATCAAAATGATTACTTATATATATCGTATAAGGTAAGTTTGGTGAATATGTTTCAAACCCATTTTTAAGCTTATCGTTGAAAAGATTTGTAGTTTATAAGCATAGTTGCCATGTATGTAGTTTGCAGAAGCCAGACTTGCTTTGAAATTCACATCCGCCCTATGACCCACTTTCGTAGCCTTGACTTTGCTGCTTGACGTGCACAAGCCGGCATTGAGTCCATTCCGACATCTTGCTGATGCCCACACGAAAAGGAATATGAAATCCAGTCCGGATGAGAAAGCCTTTAGTGGGCAAGGCGATTTGGTGAAATTGAATAGTCGCGTGGCTCTACAGCCATCAGGGAATATGGTGGAAAATGGAGAA